TGTCCCAGGGGTTAAACACCAACCCCAGCCCCATTCTGTTCACGGAGCGCAGCACAGCCGCTTCTTTTATGCTACAGACACAAAGTCTCGTGGGTTTGAAGCCACTTGTGCTTTCCACCTGAGGGTTTTCTGTGGCAATCGCAGTCATTGCAGGGAAGTACACAGGCACATTCACACATGCAGAAGCGTTTGAATTTATACCAGGAGTTCAATAGCTGAAAAAGGCTTGCATTTTCTTGTATGGGTAGCATGATTATAATACAAATTAAGGAATTTAGGACTCAAGTCTACGAATCCTTATTAGCACCGGTACCCCTTAAACGTCCTAGTTCAAATAAGAGTATAATTCACAAGTCTGTAAGAACACGCCTAGTCAAATTTCTCATGGCTTTTTATTTATTTGTCCGCAAAACACCGTACACACATATGATGAGATATAAAAGAAACATATGCTATTCCCTGCTATCCCCAAAATTTCCAAATAGCAGAAGGCGCTGAGTATAAGTTATTACTATCAGAGGCCTACCTATATCTAAAAATGAAGCTTACATTGCAACACTAATTGTGTTTATAAGAACTTAAAAAGAAAACAACAAATAACTTGTAACTGAAAAACCCCCGAGCTTGTTTTGAGTATTTCTAGAGCTGGACACTAGGTGGCAGAACAAATATACGTTCTCTAATAATTGACAAACACGAATCCTTTTAGTAAGAAGGCAGGCCCAGAAAAAGTTGAAGTATAGCATATGTCTAAAATGAATGGAAAGCTTATAGCTGCCCTGCTTTTCCTGATCAGGCTCTGCTAAGCTTGGGTTTAAACCTTTTATGTTCTTTAGTCATAAACTCGGGTCTCTCACCACAGATGCCCATGGCTCCCCTTTCCGCATACAACACATTTTAAAGCAGGACGCAGGCAAACTGTACCCAACATTTAATAGACGATAAAAGTTTTTACAGAGAGGCAAGAACCTCAAATGAGCCCAAGTGATTTAGGAACACCGGTGTAACTGCAAAGCGGTAGGACACCGCACAGGTAGCTCAAATTAGGAAATAAGAATCAAAACTATTTGCTAATTATTGCTTTGCTCCTGTAAAGCAACATTTCCTCAACAGCATATCAACTAGGAGCCACCGTGGGTAAAGGCTGAGCTGAAAAGGCTGGAAAAAAGGTCTGGGAAGAAGGCAAAGGCAACGATTTGCACCACGAGGTGTCGGCTCGCAGCCAGCCCGGCTGCCCACCCCACCAGGGCCCCTCTCCGCACGCTGCCGGCGGGAGGGGAGCAGGTGCCGCTCCGGGCTGGGGGGCCGGCAGCGCAAATGCACACGCAGCTCAAAAAACAGGGAATGGATTAGAAAAACGGGTTCCACTGAGAAAATAGGATTTTACAAAGGCCGGCTGGAAGTTCAGCATCAGCGTTTCTGACACTGTTACCTGCCCACTGGGCACACACACGTGGTAGGTGACAGACCTGCACGTGCGAGTGGCCTTCGCGCTTCAGCCCCATAAAGGGCTTGGAGCAGCTTCTTGCCTTGGCTGACTCTGGAGAGCGGAAGGAGCTCAGGTTCGCAGCAGTGGAAGCTGGGCTGGAAGCTGAAGGGGCCAAGTCTAACTCCAGGCTCCTGACTGATTTGCTATATGACCTTGCACCACTTCATCTTACTCATTTTCCCTCACAGCCCTGTCATCTCCTGTCCGTCACCTTCCCCTGTAGGGGTGAGGTACACAAAGCAACGTGTACCTACCAACAGTCCTTGCTGCAAGAAGAGAAACACCCCCCCCACCTCCTAAAATGAGACTGCCAGCACTTAACAATATTCCTGTGACATTGAAACACCCAGGACTCTCTATTCAAGTGCATCCTTCGCCCATCTGGCTCCTGTCCCCAAGCATGTAAAAGCTCATTTTTACAAAAAACTGGGCTATTCCCAGATCAGTTTTGTCAGCTCTTCTTGCCGGAGACATGAGAGGAGAGGACCTTAAGGAAGAATTAAATAGAAGTGGTAGGACCCTTCTGGATTAAAAGGGACTTGCAAGCCTGCAGGAAAGCACAGGGCTGTGGGAGAAGTGCCCAAAGATAGATGATGTCCCATGAAACCTGCACTGCACCAGTAGCTGAGAGACAGTTTATGGTGGGCTCAAGAAGTCATCTGACCTGTTGTGGCAGCGGAGGAGCAGAGCCTGCACAACAACCCCTTTATTTGGGAGAAGTAAACATCTGCACGGCATGAAAACACCACCACTAGAAAAAAAGAGGATGAACCCACATGTCACTGGTCTGCAAAATCCAATAGCAGAGGCTCAGAGTTCAGCCCCTGGGTGGCCGGAGGGACACCAGAGGCAGCCTGCCCGGCCTGTGGGAGGAGCTGAGAAAGGAGCCATCACATCACTTTTGGCCAGTGTTCAGGGAGGCACCGACTGGCTCCAGAAGAAGTCATAGGTAGGTCTCTTCTGCTACGTTCTGCAAATAGGCCTTTCAAAGGGATAAAGGGTCAGGTAAAAAGAGGTAGAGGTGGTGGGAAATAATACTCCTCAAAGACAACCTTCCTCAGAACTGGAGAAGAAACTTCTTTCATGTTTGTAGGCAATTTACCTTGGCTCATGATGATTGCAAACCTCAGAATAACTAAGGTTTGCTCACCTGCAAAAGCAACATGAGATCTGCCCACCCATCCATCCCGACACACGCACCAGGCCTTTTGAGCGCAGGAATACCAGACCTCCCCCCTCACAGCCAGAACACTGCTTCCAAATGTGGAGGTGCAAGTAGACAAACCTACGTAAGAAACCAACCGATTCCTCTTCCTGCATGGAGACGTTTTACCCCAGGATGCCAGCTAAACACGGGAAGGACCGAACATGGGATGGACATGGGCAATGGCTCAAAAGAACGGTACAGCCTAAGAAAGGATAAGTAAAGAAAGGGAAGAAGCAGAGAGGGGGTTGAAGCAGCAGTGACAGCGAAACGGACACGTAAACAGCACACAAGGGGAAAACAGTGGTCACCGTAAGCATTCCTTTATGTTAAAAACTGTATCTAACCATGTCTCTAACAGCTGCAAATGGTGGTAGTTCACCCATCAAGGATTGTGGCTACCAATACGGGAGTGAAGGGAACGTGTACGGCAAGTTGGGTGGTGTGGGAACTAAGAGCTAGTTGTTGATTTGTGACGGCATGGCTGGAAGCCCGCAAACCCTGCTCAGTCCAGGACCTGCAGGTTCTCAGCTGCTCAGAAAATCAAGTTCCCCTTATTTATGACCCAAGGAGAGATGGATGCTTTGGGAACCTTGTGGTCATTTTAAATTCAGTTCCTACGGTCAACTCCAAGTCTCTTTTATAGCTGGGTCACCTGGTTTCGAAGTGTTGTTTCCAACTTCTTGCAGGGCTGTCTTCCTGTCCCACGTCCTCCCCAGTCCCACCCTACTCACTTGTGCACTCGCTGTCCTGCAGCTCAGCCTGCTCTTCCTCCATGCTGTCCCAGTCCTTGCCACTCTTCCCCCCTTTGTCTCTACCTCACTTCCTTCCATTTTGCCTCTCCACTGCCTTCGCCCTTCCCAGCTAACCCTTTACTGTCACACCCCAGACTTTCTGAAGTTTTGACAAGTTTCTTTTCCGAAATGGGAAGCGGTAAACCAACCTACTACCACACACAGTCTTCTGGTAAAAATCCTGTCACTTCATCTCCCATCTTCCTTTTGTTTGTCTTGGCTACTCTTTTGCCTACTCTTCCGTTGCGAACTCTTTGAGAGCAGTGCCAGAATCCGCTCCATAGAATTCCATAAGGCACCTAATATGCTAAATATTATAAAAGGTCCTATTTTAATTTTTTTGCTTTCGGTTTTCAATGAACTCACTGAAAATCCAAGTAAGCAGGACTCTAAGTAGACAGACACACGTGTCCTGTCAACAGGAAGTTTCTCTTGCATAACTTCTCTGGAAGCTAAATGCGGTTGGGTTTATTTTCCTCACTGCAAATTAATAGTCAGGACAAAAGTGAACCCATAAAGAAAAATCATTTCTGAGAAAGGAGATTCTGGAAAGGCAGATGATTTTTAGCACGCAGAGCTGCCCTCATGAAACATCTGCTATGACGTAGTCCTGTTCTGGCCGTAGACCAAGCATATCAATAGCTCCACAGAGTAATGGGATAAGAAATGGGAAAATTGCCATTGCTTGTTTAGCAGCTTGTTTTGCTGATAAATGTCTGTCACTTTTCAAATAGCTACGGTGTAATTGTTTTTTGGGGAAAATATTTCCTTGAGCAGGAGGTTTGCAGGCCATTAGCTGTTTCCCATCTGTGCTGGTGTTTTAATACACCACACATACACTTTGCTCCCTATTAGAAATTATTCACAGCTTTAGATTATGGACAGGCAGCCTGAAGTTTAGAAATCACATCTGCCATTAAAAAGTTTTCTCTAGCCTTACAGAAAATTTAAATCTCAAAATCATTGGAACCAATATGTATTTTTTGAAAGAACCTCTAAAGACTGCTAGAAAAAAGTACGCATCTTAGACATCTGTAATTTTAAAATAATGACTGACTGTACAAAAGCAGGAGCTGTTTGACTAAAGCGGTGGCCACTGTGTGCTCGTTCCGTGGCTAGAGGCAGAACGTCACTCAGCCAGGCACTGCCACGTGCTGGAGTTCATCTCATCCTTTTTCAAACTGTGCCACGAAAATTTTTAAATTCCACCTGATAGCTGCTAGGACAGACAAGAGACAGACCTCTTTAGTATCACACAATACCTCTAGGAACTATCTGCTTTCGCTTCAGACATTCACTCAACATGCAATTACTTGCAGTAGATTTAGCTGTGCCAAAAGACACAGAACTGTACTCTTGCCTGCATCAACTGAAGTACTAGATGCATACATTTCTGTGGGAAAAAAAACCCCAAACCTCAAAACCATTCCTTATTAATAAGTATCCTTCTCCTTTCTTTCCCCTCCTGCCATCAGAAAAAAAGCAGAGAAAAAACACGGAGAGATGTAAAAATGTGGGTACCATTGCAGGTTTATTCCAGCGATAAACTCGTTTTGTCATCTGAATCCTTTGCATTTTTTTAATTCAAGAGGATCACATAAAGTTTCTATCCTAACTAGTTTTTAGACTTCACAGAATAAAGTTAGGGAGAAAAAGAAAAGAGATTCAGGATTAGAAAGTGCCCCTCAAAGTATGAATATAGGAATGGAGTGAAATTTCCAAGTCAAGTCCTGCACAGTGGGAAACTCGCACTGTTTTTTACTGCTGGGACCAACGGGCAAAAGGACCAACGTACAGGCAGTGACTGCTTTTCAGAATTTATTGTAAAAAATAGTATTAAACAATAGGAAAAAAGCCACTCCTTGTTCAACCCACCACATATTGCTTTATGTGGAAACAATGGAAAAATGTGACAGAAATGTATTTACCCGTTCCTATCCATGTATCAGATGATCCCAGCTACTCAGGACATGCTCATGGGAAAAATATTGGCAGTATCACAGCATATGGAAGTGGAAATAAAAAACACGCAGTATTTTCAATTGCAGTTGGGAGGCCTATTTCCTGGAGTCTAAAGATCATGTTATCTGTTTTCCTTTAGCATAATGTACATTATCAGACTTTCATAACTTCAGACACCGGCAGAAAGCCCTGATTTTTTGCCAATGGTGACATACCCACCTCAAAGATAAATGTGGAAGTCAGAATGTCTGCCTTATTTCTGTTTGCAATTTCCTTTCCATAGGAACATGCACATGATATAGTCCTTGCTAACAGATATTTAAAGCTTGGCTAGCCTTTTTTCACTAATACCAGTTCACCCCCGCTGGAGGTCCTCAGGGCAGCACAAACAATGGAGAACAGACTTCCAACACCACACCACATTTGTTTTGGCCAAAACCTGCTTGTCCTAACACCAAATTATTCATGTTAAACATACTTGGTAGATGATCTGCTTTTGTCTACAAACAGAAGGATGTCAGATTCTGCGTTGAACTGTATTACAAAAAATGTAAACCAATACATTCCCCAATATTTTTTTTTTGTGGATTTTCTAGCTCATGTCAAAACTGTGAAGTACCAGTGTTAACTTAAACAGAGCTGAATTTAACCGGAGCCCCGAAATAATGAGTGCACAGTAGTATTTACCTGGTGTAATTAGCTTCATTATCAATTGTTGAAAAGTTGACTGAGCTTCAGTTTCATGCTCAAAAGCATTAATCAGAGAAAACTTAAGTTACATGTCACCTTTGAGACCACCTCAGTTTCAAGTCAAGGGATGAATTTACACATATATAGGTGCCTTGTTTTGGGTATGACATGAGTATAGAACCGTTACATGTCACCTTTGAGACCACCTCAGTTTCAAGTCAAGGGATGAATTTACACATATATAGGTGCCTTGTTTTGGGTATGACATGAGTATAGAACCCCCAAATTCAGAAAACAGGTGTCAGCAGAAACCTATGGATAATGCTAAATAACAGTACCTAACCATTTCTTTTTCCACTGCTGTGCTTGCTGAAAACTGGTAACAGCAACCACAACAGTTTGAGGTGACTCACACAACTGGCAGTCACTGGGGTAGAGCAAAGTGGAAATTTTGGCCATTCTGAAAGAAGATACAATGGAGCAATACAGGAAATTCCATACCGAGAGGACAAAGTCAAACATTTGTTCTCTTGCACATCATAAAAAGTATTTTTGGTTACAAATTACCACTGCAAACAATCTTCTCATAGATAAAACTAAAAATGTCTCTACCTAAAGAGCTTTGAGAAGGGTCAAAACCCCACAAACCATAACTAAAATCTTTCTCTAAGTCCTCTTCCTTTCTGAGTTGCGACAGTCTCCTTATTTTAAGAAAGGCCCTCCTCTTGGTCAATCAATTCCGTTTTGGTGGAGAACACATCAGCCAGCATGTGCTTTGGGATTTCAGATCCCCGTACTTTTAATGTGTAGCAGGCATTCTCTACTTTTGCCAGACTCTGTTTCAAGGTATACAGCTTCTTAGATACTTCGTAAGGTCCAGTGTTGCCAATGAAAGTAAAACCATCATAAATCTGACATAAGAACTGGCTCAGTTCAAAAGGCGTGTCTATGTCACCGTTTCCAACACTGCTGATGCACAGCCGCATCAGCTCTCCAGTTAGATCAGCCACTCCCAGCAGGTAATCTACAGGTGTTACCTTCAGGCTCCACGTGTGTGGTTGTTTATCATGGGAATTGGAGGTCTGAGGACAGAACAGAACAAAGTCCAGTACAGAGAACTATGAAAAAGCAGTCTATAATGGTTCAAATACACACTAATTTATCTAACATAACCGGTAACTAAAAACATTCCGGAAAATTAAATTGCATGGCACTTCCACACAGTCTTATTTCAGAAGTACTAATCTCCTCCCAGCACACCGGAAGGTATGAAAGCATCATTTCCACTTGAGATGTGATTTCCATTCTAGCAAGCATGATAAACGTACTATGCTTCCACCATCTCGATTTGCAAACAGAATTATCACGTCTTTGTACCAACATTTATTTGCAGTTGCTTTTTTTTTTTTTTGGCTCACAGAACTCAGCCTAATAGATTTAAATTTTTCCTAAATGGTCTGTCCAAAGCTACCAAAGCAATCAAGAATCAAAAAGAGTCTGCATTATGAAAACAAATCATATCATTTTGTAATAGCATCTTGAATTTCAAAATATAGTTTCTACAAGAAGCTGATAGGTATAGTTCTCTCAGATCCGTTTTATATCAACTGAACTCATTAAAATAGCTAAAAAAATACTGCATGAAGAAAACTCATCAAAAAGTTACAAGTTTGCTCCTATATCCAAGTTTCCAATACCTTTTATTGCCAACATATCGGTAAGGTGGGAGACAATGCAGGTTTCTTTCTGTTCCCTTGTTCCCGTAACATGCTATCCACCCGAATTCACAAACCTGGTCAGAGGCACTGGGGTTAACAACTTCACAATTTGTTAAAACAAGTGTGCCACAATGGGTTTGCCTCTGGTAAGAACAAATGAACTTAAGCTAAAAACTTGGCTTCTTTGCAGTATCTTACCGAGAGAATGAAAGAAGAATAAGAAGTGCTTTACAGCAGAATCTCTTCAACAGAAGCAGACCCAGGAATTCATCTAAAGCAGTAGTGCTGTGCATTACTGTACATTGCACGTGCACTGCATGTGCATTTCGGTACATTATTACAAAATCGCCTTTTGTCCCCTGTCAACAATCAAACTGTACCCAGTTTACTGTGGTCGGTGGCAGTAGCTTGTCCCTATGCAAAAAGTTCTATTTAAGGCAGGGTAGGAGTACGGGCAAGTCAAGAAACAGCAGATATGGTATTAGGGCTAAGGTATGATGGGACACAAGCTTGTCCTCTGAGGGGAAGCATCAAGACCAACTCCAGGAAAGTTACAAATGACCAAGCTAAGACATATGCAGTGCATTTTAACAGAAACTGAATACAGCGCCTCCTGTGACTAGTTCAGTACCAGCAGTAAGATTTCATTCCTGGAGTTCATCCTGCCTTGGATTTGTTTGTCTCCCCCAACTTTTGCTACACCACTATACACCAGTAGGACTTACAGGCAGTCACAGCCATTAAAAATCCCTCCTCTACATTTGTTTGCTAGTATTTCACTATCCTGGTTCTTTCCCCCTACCAGAAGGAGTTCAGTTTGCTCTGAATGAAAAGGATGTGAAATTTATGAACTTGTGTCCCACGGATTTAGTTTACTACTTGTCAGAATAAAAAGCATGTTTTGAACAAGTGAGTCGAAGCCCACACGTATATCTAATACCATTCCACTAACCGGCCTTATTGAATCAGATGCCAAAAACGTGACTAAGCCTGCTCATTGCATTTCCATCCCAGAAAGATGTTTGTCACATGAGAAAAGAAAAACTTTTACCATGTTTGTTGTTTCTTCTCTGTCTTCCGCTGTAAATATTAGTTGTTTGTTGATCTCTTCAACACTAATCAAAGATCGTGTTTTGATAAAATACTGAAATGAGACTGCCTCAACGTATTCTTGAAGTCCTGCAAAAATAGAAGAGTTAAGCTAATAATTCAAACTTTCCAGCAATGCTCCATGCTCACAATTATTTATGTTTTTTAGAAATCTTTTAAGTGAGACTATTTTAAGATTACTAGCAAAAAGTGAAAACTAAGATAATCCAGAAATAATACTGAAACATAATTTAACATAGCATGCTGCTGAAGTATGAACACCAGACCAGGAACACAGTAGATAAACTTTTTCAAGTTTTTACTCCAACTGCATTTCTTTTTCAGAACCTTCTGTAATACCAGTATAAAGCATCATGCTACTCTCAGAAACATACGGAACAGCAGCTCCCCATAATGTCCCACAGGGGTCCGTATTGGCACCGGTACTGTTTAATATCTTCATCAATGACACAGACAGTGGGATCAAGTGCACCCTCAGCAAGTTTGCAGATGACACCAAGCTGAGTCATCTGAGGAAATGGCCTCAAGTTGCGCCAGGGGAGGTTTAGATTGGACGTGTGGAAAAATTTCTTTACTGAAAGAGTGGTTAAACATTGGAA